AAAAGGGCCAGCTGAACTGGTTTTCCTGGAGTCAGAAATGTAATTTGGTCACTCCACTGGGTTGCCTATTCCAAAATGCTCTTAGAACTTCAAGCAATGCAAAAAGACTCTGTGTGTGTAATCTCTGGCCAAAGGTCAATGCAGTACAGGTTTCCTACAACTTGTAAAGACTAGTGAAGCAGCAAGCAAATGCTACAGCTCTTTTGGCTGCTGTCATTACCTAAGTAACAGCAGCTGATTTACCCATATTTGTATATGGCTTCTATCACCAGCCAAGTACATTTCCTGCATAGACAGCAGTGTTTGTAGATAGAAACAGTGTATGAGTGAGAAGAGATGAGTTTTGCAATGAGAGTACAAAAACATTCCAGGAGAATTTTATCTTTCCTCTTAATAAAAAAAAAAAATCCAAACAAAAAGTCAAACAAAAAAAATTCAGGATGAATCTCAAATTTCTACAGCATTTGATAATAATAAGCAAAAAACACCACTTCTCTCCCTGCTCAAAAAAAGAAAAAAAAAAAAAAAAGGAAGAAAAGGAAAGAAAGAAAATGTAAACTCAAAACTTGTTCAGGAAGAGAAACTAGTAGCGTTAGCCCAGTTTACTCTATGACAAGTAATACCTTTGAAGCCTATTTCACAAATGCAAAACTAGACATTGACAATTGAATTTGCAATTATTACAGAAGAGAAAGAAATATCTAAAAGACTGATGGGCAGCTCTCCCTTTCTGCTATTGTTCACGAAGTTGCTTTATAACAGGTTTATAGGACAGACATTGCAGAGTCTCAAAAGCAGACAGGTATAAACAGTGAAATCAATGCCCATAAGCAAAGACCAAAAGCTACAATACTTTTAGCCTAGACTGTTTCCTCCTATACCTCTATCCCTGCAAGCAATGCAACATGTTGTAGAGCCATTTTGTAAATCCTTTTATATTTTCCTTCTAATTCTATTTATTCTTTGGTAGCTATTGGTATTAAAACTGATGTTCACAAAACTGAGTGAGTTGATTAATAGGTATTTTATACATCTGGTATTTTCTCATAAAAGACTGGTAAACTTATTTCAATTATCATACCACCAACAAGGATGCAATCTGTTCACAATGGCTGTTTACGAGTGGCTGCTTTGGGTAATGGCTGTTTTCTTAGCATGGGAAATGAAATATAATATTATTAAACAGAGATATGCAGAATGGTGTGTCAACTTATCCATCTTCCTGATGTTTATAGGCTTAATTTTTTGTAATGTTTATTTTATTTTATGGGACCAAACGTTAAAGTAGCACTTATTTGAAAGCATCTAATTTCTTTTATTTTGGTTTTAATGTCCTTGAATATTAGCATCCACAAATTCATGTGCAATCAGTGCAGAAAACCTGTGGTAGGTAGTCTATTAATCCTATTTAGAGAAACATGTTGTAATGAGAGAGATAATGAACCAAGGAGTTTAATTTTTTTATGTTTTACCCACAAGGCTAAGGTTGTCTTCTTTGGTGTTTTTTTTAAACAAATCACCTGTAAAATGTCTTAAAATGATGCATGATAATCTCAAAATTGCTATGAAAATACAACGTGGATGAGAAAGAAGGAAGTGCAAATACAAGACTGGATGGTGAAGAAACAGACATGAACATTGTAAAGATTTTAAACATAACAATAATTAAAATTATGTTAGATTAATACTTCAGGTAGTGAAAGAATGCACTGCGGTGAAGATTCAGCTTCTTAGGAATCATTAAAGTACATCTCTTTATATTTCAGTGGGGAAAGAGTTTTTTTTAGATTTGCAAATCTACCCATCAAACAATACCTTCTTAGATTTCAGTAAATGATATTTGAAATGCTAAATATATCAGAACACTTTCATAAAACACTTACATGTCTAACAGAGACAGTATCTGTTTCAGATACTCAGATATTTAAGTCTATCATATACAAATTTGAATTTCGATTAAGGTTTAATTTGGGGCAATAAGAGAGATGCATATTTCTTCAAAATATAAATGGATAATGAAAACATAAATGTTTCTAAAATTTTAAAGAGCTTTAAAAACTAATGTTCTTCAACAAATGGTATCTCAGAATTTACGCAGACATAGAGGCATAGAAAACAAAAATCACATACATTCTCCTGCCAAGTAAAAATTTCTTGCTGCCTGCCATTACAGAAGCCACTGCTGCTAAGAGAACTATGTAGTATGGAATGTTTCCTTTATCTTCTTTTCTCATACCCAGTAAACATATGCTGAATGCTTTGGTGTCTGCCACCATGTATTTTTTCCCTCTTTGCGTATAGACCTTGACTGTTGGTAGTGATAGCACCTTTGCTCTGCTGGCAACTTTAACCTGCACTGTGAGTCTGCTGTTGCTCCTTAGAGCAAAAGTGGATGCCTTCTGGAGCTGTTTAGATAATATCTCCTTCCCCCTCACATAATTATTCTTACAGTATTTGGTTCTTGTAGGCTTCAGCTTCTCAGCAATGTGTTAATAGAGAGCAATATCTGAGGGTTTTTGATGAGGAACTATATTTCTGGTTACCTAAGAAAAATAGTTTGAGATAAACAGTTTCAAAAGCACTAACTTCACTACCACTAAAGGCAGGTCACGCAAAACATGCCACTGAAGTTTTGCCACTGAAAGCCCTAGTTTTATGAAGCCAGACTGGCTTCACTAATGCTTACCTGACCTCAAACAATTTCAGCTACAAAGACTATCTAAGATGTCTCTTTGCTTATTGGATAAGGCTGGTTCCTTTCGACTGTGATTTTTGATATGAAACTAATGAGGTTTTTAGTCTCTAATACATAGCTAAAGATGCTGTAAGGACAAAGAAGGGAGGGTAAAAGGACCATTTAAAAATAAGGAATGCATTGAATACATTAAATTCATTGGGTGAAACAGTTTAATGAAGAAAAATACTAATTAAGTTATTAAAATCTAGATTTCAAGTAGTAATTAAAAAGGCTGTTGCTACGCAACCAAAAGAATTTTTGTGACAGAGTGCAGAAATACATTTGTTAAGTATGCTGGTATTTCACTTTGACCTTTTTCATACACCTGCCCAAACTGTCTGTAAATATATTTTTGAGAATGAAAACATTATAAGATATCTGCAGGATGAAGAAGCAGAAAGACTATTTAAATCAGTTAATGGCTTTTATTATGGTTAAAATGTTAAGGAATCTGTGAGATAAAAATAGATATGCATATGTAATTATCTATAAAAATTGTATGCTGATAACTAATGGATTAATTTCTATCCCAAACAGAGGTCCTGATCCTTAAACATGAAAACATTAATTTTTATAATGTAGTGTGTGAGCTAAACATGCCCTTTCCTGAAGGTTTTAAATAACAGTTAAATCTATTAATTGTATCAGAAACCTAAGTAGTTGTTCATAATAACTAAGGCCAATTTTTGCTTTTCCCGGAATACTTTGTCAAAGATGTGTGTTGATTTCTGCTATAGTATCAATTGTTACAGGTGGGAGATTTCTGTTGCCATCATGTTATACTGATACATGGAAGAGAGAACACCAGTATGTAGATAAAGAGTGACATACAAAAGAATATTGTTAGGACACACATATAATTCTATGAAGAAGCATAAAATGTGTTCAAAATATATATGGAGTTCTTTCACATATACCCCACAGTCAGGCAAATTCTGCCTGGGGCTGTGCTTTGCAAATGGGAGGGAGATCTGGTTTGGTGGACCTGAAGGGCTCAGCTCAGTGGTTGAGTCAGTTATTTCTTCAGGTTGCTTATTGGTCGTGTGACCAAACCCAATTTTCTTTAATTCCCTATACTCCCACATTTAAATTGCAAAATATTAAAGATTTTGCTTTGTTGATGCAGGTTCCTTCCCACTGATATCTCAGCCAGCAAACTGGAGGGAATCTGAATTCGGTCTAACCAACTGTCTTCTTGAGAAATGCTGGATCACCACCAGCACCCGATATCCAGAAGCAAAAGGCTTGCTTTCTGGTTAAATCTTGTTCTCTGCACTGTCACTTGCTTCCTCTTCTTTGATTTTAAATAACAGAGTGAACAACAGCGATTCTTAGCTAGAGTGGAATTTTTTTGCAGATATGATTATTTTTCTTATGACTTCCTAATTTCCAAACATAAATTTATTATTGTTTTCTAGGTAGCTTCTCTTCAAGCAACCACTCAGAATAGTTCCTAAGATCTCTTCTCAGATGCTGGAACAGAGGAACTATAAGATTTAAAGACTGAGTTTATCAGTAGGGTGGAGAGATTCCTAAAAGGAATTCTGGGACATTTGCTTATCATTTGTGCAGCGACATGTAAGCTTCTGAACACTCTTACCCTTCCATGCTAGGAAGCTAGGTGAAAATAGAGTATTCTCTAAAAGCATTCTGTAGGTTCTCTCTCTACATGTTAATTAAAGGGTGCTTCCAATTCTGTGCGACATTATTACAAAAAAACATGTTGACTTCTATATGTTTTTTTCTATACTCAGTTTTATCTCATATCTATGTAGAAAAAGCAGATTCAAAACTGTCTTTAATCAGGAGCACCATCTTCTGTTTCTTTTTTTTTTTGTTTAAAGACAATTTTGAAGTTTTATAAAGAAAAAAGGGTGTGTTCCACTGCCCAGTGAAGTTACAGCTCCCTGAAAATTTTCTGTTTTCCTCCAGATAAAAGTCAAAAATTAATTACAGGAAAACTTCAGCATCACTGGAAAGACAGGAGTTAGAAGACACCATTATACTTCAAAACTATTTATAAACACATAAAAAAAAATTGATCCTTTTAGATGAAAATATTATCCAACTGGCCAATGACAGGAAGAATCCACAGTACTTCTCTATATTGTAGAAAAGAGATTTTTTGCTGACTGTAAACCTTCTCTGTAGGTTGCCACAGTGAATAACTGCTAGACGCAAATCACAATAACATCATAAAGCTTTAGTACCCTTGGCTTTAGTAAATTAGTTAAATTACCCAGTAATAAAATGAGTTTCCTACCTCAACTTTGTGAATTCCAACTCCTGTTAAAAAAGAGAGAAAGGGAAAGATTTTTAGAGAAGGGCACAGAAAGGAAGACATTTGACATTGTTTAGCAAATAATTCACAGAAAACAAGTTCACAAGTTTAATTAGAAGAAAAATTATATAAAAAAGAATGTTCCCTTGTTATAGAGAGAAAATAAACATTTTTCCTATATGTAATCTCCAGCTATAAGAAGATTTTGCAATTTATTAAAATATTTTTATGACAACTTACTCCATAAAGTGAGATATTATCATAGGAGAGAATGATAACTAGGAGAATCTGTGCTCCAATTTGCAGATAACAAAGAAATTTTAAAATTACATGAAACTGAAGTTAGAAAATACTTTAATAAAGTCACTAGCTTGAAGTTTGAGCCCTGTCTTTCAATCAATTAAACAATAAAATAAATTAAACTTTCTTTTTTTAAAACTTTAATATATGGGTTTTTTAGTTTCTTTCTCAGTCATGTTATCAGTCATCTTCTTTTCAGTTGGCTTGTTAATGTGTCCTGCCATTACTCTACTGCTCTACTAATGTCCTGCCATTACTGCTACATGTGTACTCTGCTGCTGCTGATGCAATGACTCTACATCATACACTTTCCCAGCAGTGTCAGAAGTCTGAAAAATTAGGGAGTAAAGATCAGGAAAGATACATTCTAAAAAGACTTTTTAATAAAATATATCAGAAGTGAAATCTACCTACTACAAACCACAAACAATTGCAAGAGATTTCCAAGAGGATTTAAATTTGTTTAGCTCTGCCAATTTCCTAAACTACATAGTAAAAAAGCCACAATCTTGACTATTTACACAAGAAATTTATTCTCTTCTCTTCAGTTACTTCCTTGGAGGTGGAGTGAGAAAACCTTGTAAGACATGGTAAGAAGGATATAGGCGTAGGATTTAATTTTTTTCTCCTATTTTGATGGTCTCAGGCACTATCAATACCAATATCTGAATCATATTACATATTTGACATACTTTAATTTAGTTTGTACACCAAACTACAGTTGTCTGTGAACTTTAAGAGTGATTTAAAATATAAAGAAAAAGGAATTGTCAAATAGATAGCTATAGGTGTTAGTAAATGACTGGGTAAAATCTCTATACAAGAGAAAAAGAGTCCAAGTCACCTGGATTCCAGGTTTCTGGGCTTTTTGTTCTGTTTTGTTTTGTTTTGTTTTGTTTTGTTTTGTTTTTTTATAATTTTGTCATTAATCAATGGATTATACTTGACAACTTTTCAAAACTATATTTTGGAATTTAATCTGCAAGAGACAATCATAATTTTATTTTACTTAAGACAGTGTCCTGCAAAAACAGTCCTTATGAGGCTTAGACTCTTTCAGAAATCCACTTCATATTTATGTCTAAATAAAGCAGACAAATATCATCTTCTTTCCTATTAACACCTCTGCAGGAGATAAAAACAACCCACTCTCCACTCTTCCTTTGTATTCTGTCACTTACTTGATATAGTTACAATACTGTCAGAAAAATTCTCAAAGTCTTAAGGAAAAGAGCAAGTTTGTGGAATTAGAATTTCATATTTTTGATGAACCTGAACTAATCTCGTAAACTCCTTAAAACTTAATCCCACCACTTTTTTCAAACTGTTGCTTAGACTCAATATCATGTTTCCCCTATAATAACAGCTCTCTAGAGTATATGATGGATTTTTTAATATTTTTATTCATTTGCTTTACTTTTCTAGAAATACATCTCATAGTTTGAAAAAGATTTCCTAGGAAGGCAGGGCAAATAAGTAGCCTATACTAATTTTGGAATCAATTTCTCTGTGGTGTTCCTCCAGTTCTGTTGAAAATCCTAATTACATCATTCATAGATTTCTTTCTTTTTATGCATGGTAAGATATCTTATTAGGGTTTTTTGGGTTTTTTTTTTTTTTTTGGTACTTTGGGCTTTAGCATGTATCAGTTTATGGGCTTTATTTCATCTTTATTTGTACAGCCGGTGGGAGTCAGTATTGAAAATTAATTTGATTGAGCATAGCAGCCATATTGTGCAGAACATCATTCAGTGAAGAGACTAGATATGACAGTTACAAATAATTTAGGAGAAATTATCACCGAGGAAGGAAAGAGATAAATTTGTTTGATAGTGTCAGGTGCCCTGAATATACTGGTCCCTGTGTAGAAGAATCCGAGGGTTTTAAAAATATTGCTGATAAGGAAGACAAAACCTAACAGACCCCTAAACTGAAGTCAATACTACACCCTCTGGCAGAGTGACCTGCTCTTCTGAGATGACCTGCTTTGGAGTGTCCAGGTCTGGGACCTCCAACACAAGAAGGGTGTTGACCTGCTGGCCCCAGTCCAGAGTCACTACTTTGACTTTAGGAGTTTGGGCAGGTCATCTGTGGCGACAGGCTGAGAGAGCTAGGGCTGTTCAGCATGGAGAGGACCCTACAGTGGCCTTTATTACCTACTGGGCGCCTACAAGAAAGCTAAAGAGGGTCTTTTCACAAGGGCACACAGTGACAGGACAAGGGGGAATAACCTTAGGATGAAGGAGAGTAGGAGATGTAGGGATGGTGAGGCACTGGAACAGATTGTCCCAGAGATGATGTGGGCTCCCCATCCCTAGAGGCGTTCAAGACTATACTGGGTGGGATTTTGAGTAAACTGGTCTAGTGGAAGATTTTCCTGCCCTTGGAAGAGAGGATGGAACAAGATGATCTTTAGGGTCCCTTCCAACCCAAACTTTTTTATGATTATCTGGTAATAAAGTTATTGGTGGAAGGCTCTTGTCAGCGACACTTAAGGAGAGTCATACTAGATACTATTAAGGCAGGATCATTATCTGTGTATCATACAAAGAAAGAATTACAGTGACTGAAATATCAAGTATAGAGTCAAGTGCCACATTTACAAATTTCTCCTATTACGTAGAAATATCAAGTTTTCATAAGTACAAGGACATCTTAGCAAGTCATTGGGTTTCCTCTCACTTTTCTTTCTTTGTATTTATGGTGACTTAGCTTAAAGCAGACCTGGCCTTATTCCTTTTTTCTCTGCTTAGAACTGCATTTCATGCTTATTCTGATCAGTCAAAAACTAGAAGAGAAAACAGAGAAGTAAGATTTATTTATAAGTGAATGATTGTTTCTTTGAATTTTTCTTACACATAGTGGGTATCTCTTCTCCAATGTTTTGCCATTCTAGCTATTCATAGAACTTTTGCTGTGGATCATTAAGTTAATGAAATAACTTCAAAAGAAAATGTGCCTTTCCAAGCCTTTCCAGACACAATTTTGATACTGCACTTGCTCTGTCATTGGAATATTGACTATCACAGCTTCACTGCCTATGAGATTGGATTAAGATTCTGGAAATAATTTTTTTTAAAGGGTTGAAATTACATGGGGCTTAAAGTGTTTTAGATAATGAGGCCTTGGATGATCCCATCTTGCATGCTGCCTGCCTTCAGTTCAATACTTGGATCACAAAACCAGCAATCCTTCCTGGCTAATGGAGTTTGGAGTTATGAAACAATATAAAAGCTGTGATTAACTGAGGAGCTATAAACAACTTTGGGCTAGTTCTGCACTATCATTTTGTACCCCTACTTGACACTGGGTCTGTAGTGTTAGTTTGTTTTCTTGACTTCATAAACTATATGTTCTTGTGACCCTTAATTATAACAATTCTATTGAAACTTCAAAACCTGGATGTCTATAGCCCTATTCATTTTACATGAGAACAAAACTGATTGGGAGAATTATTTCACTTCATGTGATAAAAATTATGTTCTATAAGTAACTGCAGTTACATTTAGTTCCAATTTCTTATCAATTGATACCTTTTCTTCCCAAGTATATATTTGAATTATTTTTATTGTCTTTTTCACATTTATTCAGAAATACAATTCAGTGAGTTTGGGATAGATTGGATTGCAGATTTTAAAATTTATTCTCATTATTTTTGGCTAATTCAGCAGTCAAGATATTTTTGTATTACTCAGCATTTTCTTCCATGAAGACAAGTCAGCATGATAATTTAATGCTATGAGTGTAACTCAAGTTTTATATTGCGGGTTTTTTTTCCAGATGGTAGTCATTAAAGGGATAATCAAACACAAGACATGGAATATACTTGGGATATTTTAGAATACAGTGATGGAAAAATGTTACATGTTGTATGTTGTATGTTTTTAGCTGATCTTTCTTTCAATAGTCGCTTTCAAAAAATAAAACACAGCAAATATTAAATTAATTTCAGCTTCATACTTCTGGTTGTGTGCCAGCTTAACTGTTTTATTTCATTCAAGTGGTGAATAACCAATCCTGATTCAACCTTTCATTAAAAAATCAAGTATTCTCTACAGAGAACACTCTCCATGGTCATAATACCAGTTGTCTCCTCTAGTCTTTCTGACGTCATGAGACCAATATGGATATTTTCTGGATTTGGGTTGTTATCCATCGTATCAAAGTGTGCAACAATATTTCTTGTTATTAGGAAGTCTGAAAAACGTGATACTTATTTAAAATAAGATAACCTGTTTGTTTTTTGAAAAAGCTTCACAATAAAAAAAAAGAACTTGCTTTACATTTTCTCTTTAATTTTTATATCCTGCTAAGAAATGTGACTGAAAATACTATTAAGATAAATAAACAAGATTGAAAACAACAATATTGTTGACTACTTTAATATAAGGAAGAAGCAATCACTTTATGATTAATTTATATAAAATGAATCCTTGTGGAATTTGTTTGTTTGGTGTTTTTTTTTTATTTTATTTTGTGTGTATATGTGTTTTATATTGAACTGTAAGAAACACTGGAAAAGTTCAATCTGGACAATGTTTGGCTGAAAAAATGGTTTCATGTGTGGTCTGCACTCTTGATAGTAAGGAATACTATTAAAATTGGTGACTGGAAAAAAATTTAGGTAGGATCCCTGTGGTTTTGATAGTATCAGTCTGCTGGTTTAATATTTAAAATATCAGATATAAATAACTTCAACATTTGG